ATTTAAAGAAAGACAAAATAGGTAGAAATAATACAAAGAAAAAAATAAACAGTAAGAAATCACTACTTGATTACAGATTGTCCTCTTACAAATAGTTATTCAAGATACTAAAGTGGAGCATATAAAGTGGGGATTCAGACAGTGAGACTGCAGCCAGTTCTGTTCAGCTATTCAACAAAAACTTAGAAATACGGTTGTCAATCCTATATACTTAAACATACATGCAGTTATCCATATCTTCAATTATGTTGAGATTAAACAAACCAAGCCATGTAATATCACTCTGAACAAAGAATAATACTATTATTGGGTGTCACATTATGACACTCTAGGATCAGCACTAGGTACTTTAGTGTCTCTTTTTCTTCAGAGTATTTGTTCATTTCATCATGTGTCATAAGATCAGTTCTCATAAACTGTTTATAGATTCTACACATGCATGAGTCTTAACATGTGTTTCTATCCTTTCTATATTAGAGGGAGAAACAAAACAAAGCAAGACAAAACAAAACATATTCCTATAAACACATGAAACAAAAAGACATATAAGACCGTTGTACAAGAAGTTCTACCATAGTTCCTGTGTTGTCTCTTGTTATCTTCAATAGACTTGGCTATATCATCAGACATAGTGTAATTGAATATATCAGTACATAACAGTAAATAAAAACACAACTTTGTATATAGTATAAAACTTCAAAAACAGGCAGTTATCAAACCAGATTGTGTATCGTAGAGTCTTGTCATCTTCAGTGTAGTTGCCTATACTCTCAAACTTGATACTATCAATCATATCAGTTTTGAATAAAATCTGCTGATACCAAACCAGATTTAACTAAGATCAGTCATAATAAAGTAATATAAGTCATGCAGGGCTTCAGATTAAGATGATAGGAAATTAAAGATGATTACTGTGCTATATCCTGATTTTTTGGGATAGCTGTCTGTGCCCTCAAATCTAAGGCAAGTAGACAAACTGGGACAGAATAAAATCTAAGCAGAGTGGTGCGAATAATGTGGGTTTTAAATCCTGATATACTATTAACAATATCTTCTGCCATCTTTTTTAAGACTCTCCCTCCCCTTTCACTTCCCCAGGATATACTATGCATTTTTGGGTCTGACCAAGACCCTTGGTTTTAAATTGGGGGAGAGGGGTGGTAACCTACTATTTACCTAAGTGGTTCTGAACCTTCTCTCTTCTGGACTTGATCTCTAATTGTATTCCTTTTCCTATTAAAGCCTGTCTTTCCAACCTATCCAGAAATACTGGTCTAGTTGCCCCTATTACTCTCTGGTTCTCAGTCACCTAGAGCATTGTTTTCCCATATCTGATTTTCAGTCCATATACTCTTTTTCATGTTAATTATATTTCCTATAAATAGCATCTTGGTGGACCCTGCCTCCTGATCTACTCTACATGTGGTTCTTTTTTTTTTAATTTAGTGTATCAAAGCCATCTTAGAGATTATAACCAACCTTCTCTGCCTCATTTCTGTTATGCTCTTTTTTTTTTTTTCTTTTTTTATCGGTACCAGGGATCGAACTCATGACTGCCTGCTTTCAAGGCAGGTGCTTATGCCGCTGAGCTAAATCCACAGCCCCTGTTACGCTCTTTTTTTTTTTTTTGCCATCAGTTGTCTGCTTATCTTCTTTATTGTTTTCTGCTCCGTTCATTGAGGCGTCTCTGCCACTGTTCCTGGAATCCTAGTACTTTTCTCTCTCTCTAGAATGCCCTGCAGTATTCTCTGTTAGAGTTGGATTGGTAGTTGCGAATTTCCCAAGTTCCTCTTTGTCTTGGAAGCATCTTGTTTCTCCATTAATTTCTAGAGACAGTTTAGCAGGGTATATCAATCTGGTCTGGAGGTTATTTTTTTTTTCAGGGCTTGGAATATTTCACTCCAGGCTCTTTTTGACTTGATGGTTTGTGTCGAGAAGTCTGCTATTATTCTGATGGGCCTTCCTTTGTAGGTTATCTGTTTCTTGTCTCTAACAGCTTTTAATATTCTGTTCTTATATTGAATTTCTGGGATCTTGATTATTATATGCCTGGGTGTAGCTCTGTTTTGCTTGTAGGTGGTCAGAGTTCTGTATGCCTCATACATCAGAATATCATTTCCTTTTCCTATGTTTGGGAAGTTTTCCTTAATTATTTCTGTGAATAGCCTTTGTGGTTCCTTTGTTTGTACCCCTGCTTCTTCATTCACATTCTTTATTCTCAAGTTATCGATCCTCTTATCATCTTCTAGCCTTTGTATTGTTATTGCTTGTTTCCTTGTTATTTTTAAAAAGTTTTTCCTTTCATAATCCCACATTGCAAAACTGTCCTCCAGTTTGGATAATCTCTCCTTAGTTTCTTTCAAGCAGATTTGCCACCTTTCCATAGAGTTTTGATTTCCTGGTAATCTCTTTGAATCTGCTTCATGAATTCTATATTTTCTTTATATTCTTCATCAAATGGTTCTCTCCTTTGTTTGAGTTCCTCTCTTCTTCTGTTTGTGTCTGCTTGAAGGGTGCTTGGCATCTCTTTTATTAATCTTCTTATATCTTGCTTTACTTGGCTAAATAACTTTTGAACTCGTCTATGATGTCCCAAAGATATCTCTTTATCTCCACTGGTGCTGTGTCTGATATTTAATGTTTGCTGTTCTCATTCTTTTTTGTATTTACCTGTCCTGAGTCGGTGCTCCCAGGGTCGGGACCTGGGGACTTTTTGTTGCCATTCATCATCCCTCCAAACATGAAGTCTCATCTAGAAGTTCTCCCTAGCATCTCCAAATGTGACTCCTGCATCCTAGAACAGCAGCTAGCAGAACCCTGACTGTGAGGTCTCCTGTGCTTGGCATTCCTGTCTGTGTCTGGCTTTCTGTGTTGTGCTCACACCTTGCACTCAGCTCGCTGTCATTTCTTAGGTGTCACACTTGCTGTAGAACTGTTGTGATTCTGCATTCACTTGCTGTCTTTATTTCTAGATGTTTTTTGTGGGGATGTTGTTAAAACCAGAGCCTTGCACACCCTAGGATATACCATTCAGCTACATCTGAGTCCTATTTAAGATAGAATCTCACTGACTGGTCCAAGCTGTCAGCAAACTGCAATCCCCCTGCTTCGGCCTCCCAAGAAGCTGATTCCGAGTGTGTGCTGTTGCACCCAGCTTGCACTTAAGCTTTTGACAGTATCTCGTCTTTTGTCACACTGCAGGACTCTTTATTATCTCTATACAGTGATCTCAGGTTCTGTATTGAGGGGTAGCCTTCTTTGGGGCTGTGCGTGTTATTCTTGCTGACCTTGCACATGGTACCTGGCTTTTCTATGTTTTGGGGACCTTGGAGTAGGACCAATTTCCTATAGTGACATCCTCCTGAGCCCCCTGAGGGCAGACCTATGTAGGGACTGTTTGCTCCTGCTGGCATTTAAGCAGCCTGCTTAGAGGTGTGTGTGTGTGTGTGTGTGTGTGTGTGTGTGTGTGTGACTTGTGGTTAGAAATTCGCGAATATTTTGTCCCTCTATTCTGGCTGAGGCTCATGTCCCATATGTCCTGTGCCCAGGTTGGGGTGGGCTCCTTGGTCAGGGCAGGTAAGGGATGTCCATGGCTTCATAGTGTCCCCAGTCCCAAAGCCCCCCCTTCTCTATCCCCTACCCTTGGTCTAACTGGGTCTGTCTCAAAAAGACCTCTGCTAGAAACAAGGGTGGAATTTGTCATGGGCCATTTCCTTCACTGCCTCCAGCCTCTGCTAGCCCATGTGGCAAGAACAGTGGGCTGGAGCCTGCAGGCACATGGCACCAGCACTGCCTCCCTGTGAAGCTAGTCACCAGGGGGCCACATTCAGCAGGGCCCTGCCAAGGCTGGAGGGTGAGGACAGCGGTGCAGCAGGCTTCCTTCCTCATCAGTGTCCTCGTACCTGTGTCCTCCTGCCTTGTGTCCTGTTGCCTGCTCTGTGTGAATGACCTGAGCATCCCACCTCAGGCTCTGGGGCCCTGGACTGGGCTGCCTTCAGTGTAAAGAATGCAAAATGGGTTCCTTTGTGGAGTGAGGCTGGGGGGCCATGGAGGCATCCGTGGGTCCAATGTTGAGGTCCTAACCTCCAGAATGGGACTGTGCTATGTTGTGCCTGTCCCCTGCCACCAAGAGGCTCACCTTGGCCCAGTCCTTCCTTTGTGAGCAGGACTCCTCACCTTTCACCCTAAGCTGGGTGCAGTGGGCACTGGTGCCAGCACCATGTGCCTTCCAGACTCGAGTACTCATGTCCACCCAGAGGGGGAACATCAGTCCTCAGTCACATCTGGGGACACCCAGCTCCTCCTAACACTCAGCTTGTAACCTTCTCCTCCTTACCTCATGCATGGGTTCCTGTTCTCAGATAAACCTAGGTCAGCGTGGCTGAAGTTTTTGGCATTCTCATCTGACCTGTCCTCTGGGTCACAGAGGGCCGTGGACAGTGGCCATATGGCCCCCCTCAGCCTTGTGGTGACTCTGATTGCTGCTCTACCTGCCTCATCCTCCCTGGCCAGGTATGGGCCTTACCCCAGCTCCTGTGCCTCTGCCACCATGTGGCATGTTCCATTTTTCCTGAGGATGCTACCCATGGGGGCAACGCTGCCCTCTCCACTACCTGCAAAATGGGTCATTGTTTCCTACAGGTGTGATGTCCCTGCCCCTCAGCAGCCCTCCCAGCAATGAACAGAGCACTGGGTACTGTGGGTGGTGACATGTGTCTCTTGTCCTCTAGGAACAGGCCTGTGCAACACAGTGTCTGGACAGGGAACTAGGGCTGAATTACCCACAGATGAGCATCAGCCCTCCCCTGGTAGCCTGACTGCCATGTGCTTCTAGGCATCCTGCCGTCACCCATCTTGCCACATAACAGTGACATCACCCTCCCCATTGAGTGCCAGCAGTTCATTCTTCTTACAAGGAGGGACACAATATGGCCCTGAATGCCTGTGTTAAGTTCCCAGCCCACAGAGTTCTACGTGTGAGAAAGGCATTATTTCTAGGATGACAGCTTTCTACAAAATTTATTTTATTAATTGAATGTACAAATGGAAAAGAATAAATATGTGATCACTGCGTCTGACACCACTTGGCGGCCATGCCAGTGGCTGGGAGGGGACAGGAGGATTTGCCAGCTCTGCACAAGGGAAGGGTAGGTACCACTGTCACCAGTGGACAGGGAAGTGGCTGTGCAGCATGTGACACCACGGTGAAGTCCTGTGGGGGCATGGGTGACTGCAGGCCCGAGGCTGCCCTGGCCTTACCCACTCTATCTGTAGTGGTCTGCAGTATCCCCTCAGTGGCAGTGTGAAGACTGGAGAGGAGTCCTGTGAAATGGGACAAAGAGCTACTGGATGGAGCAGCTTATCTCTGACGTGGCCTCTGAAGTTGGCGTGACTGTCACTTCTCACTTCTTACTTCTTGGCAGTTAATGGCGGGCCTGGAAGCTCACTGTGTGTGAGAACTGTGTTTCCCATGTGGACAGAGGAGGGTGTGATAAGCCTATCACTCACTCTCCCGGTGCTTGGCGAGTACAGGGTGGGCAAATCTCACCCTAGCAGACAACAGCTACACACTCCGACGTTGCCTGCAACTCTGTAGCCACCTGAGAGGATGGCCACTGTCATGCTGTCCTCGTCCTGCCAGCAGTGGGCCGAGAGGCTGCTGCATTTTGTGGTTGGCACACTGGTGAGATGTGACCTCAGCCACAGGATGAGCTGGACCCAGGCACCGCTGACATGTCATGCTCCCGGGCTCTTGGCGCCCTCAGTATGTGATCTTCCAGTGGGTGGGCTGCTCACATGCTTTCTCCTCATCACCACAAAACCGGTTGTACGTGGTCTTGGGATCAAATCCCAAGATTTCTCTTTCCTCATGAATCCGGAAGGAAAACGTGGAGACTGATGTGCCAATAAAAAACCTGCAGCGCAACATAAGAGTTCTAGAGTTACACAGGCCCAGCAGTTCTGGAGCATCGCAAGGTGGGGAGGGCCTCTGACACCTGCACCCTGGTGGCTCTACCAGCACCTGCATCCTGCCTCCACTGCTACTGCAGGGTACAGATGGACAGACGCATGCTGGGCCAGTGGAGAGCTCTGCACCAGGTCCTTAGGCTCTATGGTGGTGCAAGCCAGGCCGCTCTGACCTTGTGTGTACTGGTCCCCACCTCTGGTGGCATCAGGGACCAATCAACCTGAGATGTCTGCAGTGTAGCAGTGGATGGAGCTGTGGGTGCCCTTATGCTGAGTGATACCTCACATGGATGCCGGGGCTTTGTGAAGACCCTGAGGGAAGAGGGAAAATGAGAGCTCTGAATTCCCCAGGGCAGCATCCAGGCCAGTGGACACTGCTGGCCACTGTGCACCACAGCAGCCTGAAGGGTATGTACCTACGGCCTGCCTCCCTGGCAGGCCATTGAGGGCTGCACTAGTGCCTCAGTGCCCACAAGTGACAGCCAGCAGAGCCTTCCTCAGGCTGTGACTGAGGAGTAGCACATACACATAATCTGTGCATGCCCCGGCAGTGACCACACTCGCCCTCTGAGTTTGCATCTGACTTGAACCTGCCAGTCCTGGCCGTGGTCTCCCACAGTCACTGGAGTTGGGCTTTCCTGTGAGAACCTGAAACCCCAGCACAGGTTTCTGTGCTCCCAGGTGTGTGTTCAGGAGACCAGCCACATCAGAGACTGGTGACTGCTGGGGCAGGCCTCAGGGGTAACGGGAAGGTGACAGGAGAGGAAAGGCCTAAGCTGAACACTGTAAGCAAAACAATGAACCCATGACCAGTGACGAAACTAGCAAAATACATGTGGAGATGAAGTCTGTGTTACTCATGGGCACCCTGTGAAAGTGGCTCCCCAAGCAAGAGGAAAGGGTCAGCACCTGGCATGTGCGCAAATCCACTGATCGATGATGGCGATGCCCCCATCCTTGTATAGCTCCAGCTCCTCCCAGGTGGGCTCAAACCTCACCATCTCAGGCAGCAGCCTCTTCAGCTCTTCCTGTTCTGCAGGGCAGAGGAGGGCACTGATGCAGGGGCCTGGGGTGCAGACTGACACATGGGCGTGTCCGGGCAAGGTCCACTGCCTGTGATTCTGGCAGCGAGCCAAGAGGTGAGGTCTGCCAAAGGGACAAAGCAGAGTCACTGTTCAAAGCCCCCTACCCTTCCTGATGGCATCCGTGGCCACAAACACTCTGGGCAGCTGGTGCGCTGTCATGAGGCTGCGGATCTTCCGGGCAGCACCCTCCAGGCTGGGCACGTCCTCCCTGTGGCCCCAGATGAAGTCCTTCCTCCGAAGGTGGACAGCAAGGTATGGGCCTCCCAGTGAGGAGCCCAGCTTGACCTAGCAAAAGACAAAAGCAAGAGCTGCTGCACCCTGGAATCTCACAGTGGGAAGGAATGAGTGTTCCTCATGGCATCCTCCAATGCCTCCCCTCCAGAATATGGGTGGGGTTGGGGTGGGGTGGGGTGGACAGAGCACTTCCCCAAAGAAGTGGTTAACTGTCACACATCCTATTGTCTGAGTGAGATAAAAACTATAAATAGAACTAGGTGGGGATGCCTTTTATCTAGGGCTTGATTCCCAGTAAGGACCATCCAAGCACAGCACTAGGATTACTGCAGCAGTGCCCTCTGTGTACATACATTCCAGAGAACACAGAGTCTGCTATGAAACACTAGCACCAGGCACCAGGAGTGATGACAGCATCACTGTGCAACTACACCATGGGGAAACAGACTTCCCAGAAGTAGTGAGAATCAGTCCTAAAAAACTTAAAAGAATGTCGCTTGACCCAACAGTGCTGCTGCTGCTCTCCACAACCTTTCCCACTCCATCTGTCAAAAGGAACAGAGTAACTCCGACCACCACCCATCCTTGACATCAGCTTGTCTGTTTTTTAAAATCTCACTGAATGGGGCTGGAGATTTAGCTCAGTGGCATAAGCACCTGCCTTGTAAGCAGGCAGTCGTGGGTTCAATCTCCGATACTGATAAAAAGGAAAAAGACAAAAAATAAAAACAAAAAATAAATAAATAAATAAAATCTCCCTGAATGCTGAGAACCCTCCAGGCTTGGGGCCTGTGCTACCATCCTCTCTCTACTTGAGAGCGTTGTGTGACAGGCTTAGAGAATCGGGGTGCCCAGGCACTCATGGAGGCCTGTCACTACCTGGATTTGCATCTGGGACAAGTGAAGCATCCCTGAGAGGCAAAGGATAATGTACCAGACATATGCTGGCCTCTCAGGGCTTTTGGACCTGCAGAGAGAGAACATGTACCTTCAGCTTTGTCCAGTCCTCCTCCGTGGGAATGGCATCTGCAGTGTCACTGGAGTTGAGGAACTTATTCCGGAACTCGTCTCCTGCTACCCGCAGATGCTTGGCAAACACCATACTCCGCCGGGTCTGCAGAACAGGGTGCAGCTGAGCACTGTGTGCCTTTGCAAACAGGCATGTGGGCCACCGCCCCATGTAGTGCCACCTGGACCATCTGCACAGAGGCTGGCCACAAGGACAAGGCTGCTTGGCCCTCCCAGCTGGGTTTCTTAGTCTCTCCCTGCCTGTTTAGTTCCAGGCTGGACACCACCCTGAGCTCCTCCTACAGCCTCTGAGCAGCACTGCCGCCTGGGGCCAGGAATGGCTCCACGTAGGACTGTGTCAAGCAGCGCTAACCCACCCAGGATTATTTACAGGGCCCCTTGACAGCCTGTGTGCCACCCTCCACCACAGGTCTGCCTGCCCCCAGTGTCAAGCTTTGTCTTGGCCAAATTCAGCACCTCCTTTCCAAACCAGACATCTACTTCATAAGGCTGCTCTGGCCAAACCAATCACTCAGCTGTCACGGAGGGCACACCGCCCAGTACATAGCCCACCTGGCCCCACTAAAGAGGGATAAGCAGAAAACGCTAGACTTTCCACTGATGGAGCAAGAAGAGGAGAGGAGGGGACAGCTCCAGAGCTGGCTGGCACTCAGCAGGCAAGAGCCATTGTGTCTTTGAGACCCTGAGCCCAAAATGAGGTCTGCTCCATCCTGCACAGCTGCCCACAGAGAACCTCTGCTCCCCAGAAGGGAAGATGCAGCTCAATGCCCAGCCTAGGACTCCCGAGGGCTCTGTCACTTCAGCCTTGGTAGAAGGAAGAGCTGCTATTTCAGACTTCCAGCAATGGCACACGTCCACACAGCAAATGGGAACAGAGGAGAAAGGCAGCCCTGAAAAAATACTCACATCCCAGTATTCTTTTCCTCCGTAGTGGTCGTGAAGGAGGTTTTCGGCTCTGTCTAACATCACAGACCTGGAAGAGTTTAAGGACTGTCACAGGTAAATGGATTCTATCTGCTGCTCTGTGAGCCCTGCAAGGAGAACCTGGGGCCAGGTAAACCTGAAAGTCTTATCTGCAGAGGACTGAAGCAGGTATGCCTGTGCAAATTGGGGAAACTGAGAGGCAGTGGAGGGACAGAAAGAGAAACAAACTGAGCAGAACACATATGATAAGGGAGTTCGTCCAGGAATACATAGATGGTTCCACATTAGAAAAGCTCCACTGATATTACAATGAGAGACAGTGCAACAGAACCACAGGGCATAATAGCTCATGCCTTCACCCATGACTGGACCACCTCTGCACAGTGATACGGTCTCCTTCTTCCAGGCATACATCTTGGGCTCACTAGCCCCCTGCTTCCAGTGAGTCCTCCTTCCAGCCTTCACTCTTAGCACCAGTAAGTTTTAGTACTCAGCACAAAAGCTGGAACCTGACCGAACAGTGGTGGCGAGCCCTTGGCATGTGTGTTGCAGTGGGCAGGCAAAGATGTATGCACCAGCACAAGTGAGCTTCCAAGGTCTGGAAGGGACTCCATGCCTTCTGCATAGCCCCCTGCCTGCCTACCATGGCTGCCTTTGAGCTATGCACATGTAAACCCAGCCGTGACCACTTTCTGTGTTTTACCCAGCTCTGTAGCCTACGCCCCCTTGCTAACACAGTGACAGTGGGCTTCTCGGCTGGTAACACTTCACTCTGGAGCGTGACAGTCTCCCTCGTCTCTGCTGAGAGTGCTGGGTGTCTGGCTGGGTTCCATGAAGATGGTGGGCCATGTCGGTGTACACGCAGCGTGTGCAGGAGGATGACAGCAGTGTTTCCAGCTTTGTCCCTACACGGGCCAGGCATGTTCCATGCGTGCTGCCAGGAGTCACCTCCCCTACCAAGTCACGGCCTGCCTTTGGCTCACTTAGTTGCAGGCTGCCTGCCCTTTGCTTCTGACCTTGAAGAGCTTTGTCTACACTGGACAGCGTCCCTTGCTGACCTAAAGCTGGCTCCTCCTTTAGAAGCTGGCTCTTCTTTCATTGGCTGCAAATCCTCCATGTAACATAACTGAGGTGGTGGTCTTAAAGGCTATGGTGCTATCCTGTGAGAGCTGCAGGGCTGCGGTCCTCCACCCACCATGGGGCTTTCTAAGACCATGGGGTGGACAGTGACCCACCACAGCCCTTCCTGGCCCTGTTGCCCAGCAGAGGTGCTGTCCCCAGCCTTCCTTCTGCTACCGCTCCATCCAGGTTGAGCTCCACCCCAACCTGGAAGCACAAGTCAGAAAATGGAACAGCAACTGTGTGTGTCCCACAGCTCCAGAGCTGGCCCGAGGTTCATTGCCCAGTATCAGAAAAAACAAAACAAAACTGGTTTTGGGCAATGGGAAGGCCTGCTGCAGGGACTCCAGGGAGAGTGGCCTGGGACTCTACCTGCAGGGGCTTCTAACTGCAGGGGCCTCAGTTCCCACAGGCACTCAGGGCCTGCAACAAATCCAAGAGACGCAGACAGCACTTAGATGTCATCCAGACTGCAGTTGCACAGACTCCAGGTTCCCTTGGGGCTGCACTGCCACTCAGTGGCAAGTGAGAGGAACTGCCCTCCCCTGCTGTGGCTATGCAGTTAGGGAACATTGTGACTCCCAGGCCTGAGAGCTAAGTAGTAGTGGGCTTTTCCAAGCTGCCTGGGTGCTCAGGAGAGCAGAGGCCAACACTCAAGCCAGTGACCTTCACTCTTCCTGCATTTGGCCTCAGCCCTCTTGCTGGGCACCTCTTTGCTCTGCTCCTGGGCTGCTCTCCCTGCCTGCATCTGGCTAGCCCCAGAACCCCAATCATCTCAAGGAGGATGTGGTGGGGGCTGGTGTGAATCCTGTGTCTACCACCTGGTACTGAGGTTCAGCCAGTATCCCAGGGAGCCCTGACAAGGACGGGGCTGTGCCCATGCCCACAGCTGGCCAGGCCCTGGCTCATGGCCACCTCCAGCTCCTCGGATTTTCTGTAGCCAGGGAAGGGACACAGCCCAGGGGACTCACCGAGCTGAAGTGTTCTTCAGCAGCACGGGAGCTACAACAGACGCTGAGCCTTGGACAGAGAGGCAGGAGACGTTCAAGCCCCGGGTTTCTTCATAGCCCCAGAACCAGCCCCTGGAAGAGGAAATCCAGTCTCCTTGAGGTCACACTCATAGGAGGAAAAGTGAGCTCAGACACTGCTGCTTTCTCCAGGAGCAGCTCCCATGCACAGCAACATGAACATACCATGCCTAGATGGGGACGCTGCAAGATGACCCAGGAGCCAAGGGAGAGCAGGGTGTAAGCTCAGCCCATGCCTCAGCGCCTGTGGAAAGGCACCTCTCTGCCTTGGATCAGCTCATCCCCAAGTGCTGCGCACTGAGGAAGGCAGGACACAGCTTTCCCTATGGAGGTCAACTGAGGACACAGCCTCAGGTGGCAACTGGCATGCTGTGCTAAGACCACAAACCTCATGCCCCACACAAGTGCACTAAGAAAGGCAGTGAAGCCAAGGATGGTGGCACATCCCTCTAAGCCCAGCTACCTGGGAGGCTGAGCCAGGAGAGCCACAGGTTGGACTTAGTGAGACACTGTCTCAAAAGCTCAAAAGGGTTGGGGCTACAGCTCAGTGGTAGAGCACTGGCCCAGCAAGCACAAGGCCTTGGGTTCAATCCCTAGCGCTGCAAAGTAAAAGGGGTAGGGGGTGAGTGTGCCTTGGACAGAGGTCTCTAAAACAGACCAAATGCCCTCCCACCTGTGACACAGCTTGGGCTTTGGGATGGCGAGCAATGTGAGTGGTGTTTGGGGATCCTGCGCCCACAGTGCTACCTGTAGTACTCGTGCTTGTCCTGGGAGTAGAGTGGAGGGTCAATGCAGGGCCGTGCATCCACCTTCTCCTCCCAGGTTCCCTCCTTCCAGCCTTCTGCGTAACCCTGCAGGACGTACACCTGGTCGATGAAGGGCCCGCCAGACTCTAGAGAAGAGCAGAAGAGCACTGTAACAGTGACCACCAGAGCCGCCACGCTGTCTCACAATCTCTCACAAGGACTAGGAGTTGACACCATCAGCATGCGGGCCCTGGAGGCGGCAGGGGCTCATGGAGACAGCTGTGGTCTCTGCCCAGGCCCCTCCTTGGTGCCCTCTGCGCCTCCCATGCTCAGTGCCTGGCCTCACTCCTCTGCTGAGCCCCTCCCTCCTCTGCTCCTGGGCTGCTCTCCTGCACTTTTGCCCAATGCCCAGTGGCCCGCACATTCCCTGCTGACCACTGCTGAGAGATCACCTCCAAGAAGGCCCCTTCCCCACTGCTTCCACCCACACTGCAAGAGCTGCCTGCCACATCTGCGTGCCAGCCCAGACCTTCCAGAGAAGCAGTGAACAGAGTCAGTTCTGAGAATCACAGCTAGTGAGATTCAGGACCAGTTGTGGGGCCATGGGCCCAAGAACACCCTCCTCCCCCCTCCATTGCAAGTGCCATCCCATGTGGCCACCTGAACCCAGCAGAAGCCCAGCTGGCTTAAGACAGGCTAGGAGGAAGTTAGGGTCTGCCTGGGGAGTCTGTAGACTGTTTCCCCTTGTACTCCAGGTGGAAGGATGAGAGGGCAAGAGGAAAGGCGGCCTGGTCACTTCCAGGCACCATACACTTTCATGGTGAGCCTCAAGATCACCTCTTTGCCACCTTGAGGAAACAGGACCTTGCATGGAGGCAAAGATAGGACAGTTTCGTGGATTCCTAGGACCATGATGAGGCCAAGGTCCGGGTGTTCTCCAAACTGAGGCCTGTCGGCCTACCTACCTGCCTACAGCTCATTTTCCAGCACACACTAGCATATGTAAAAGTTGGTTAAGAGGGGTACATGCCAAGAACAAGCTTCCCGAAGTTCAGGGCTACATCACAGCCCGAGTGAAAACATGGAAGGTACTCTCCCAGCACTTACACTCCCAGTGTTCCAGGAGACAAGAGCTACGGGGCAGCCAGAACCAGAGATGGAAACAACCCTGGAGAGCCCAGGCCCAGAGAGGCAGGGACTCCATGCAATGAGCCATGCACAGCAGCCCCTGCCACAGCCGGCCTCACCAGTGCCTGTGCAGGAGCCTTTCCTGCTCTTTCAGGCCTCCCTCTTACAACCAAAGCCAGTGAGCTCTAAATAGTTTTGTTCTAAGAAAAGCTTTACTCCTGTCAGGAAAACAGAGGCAGCAGCATTGAAGTACTGTTCAGACGCTGTCCCCAGCATGGCACCTCAGCCTTTCAGAATGGTCCTCACGGGGTAGCACCCTAGGCCACTGCTTTCACATCCACCTCTGGCTGAACTGGCTGCTGCCAGAGACCTCAGCCCTATTTGCTGAGAGAAACCCAGGAGGCTGCTGGCGGCCTGGAAAAGAATGACCCCACAGCAGCTGAAGGTGGAACTAGTGGCCAAGCCTCCACCACCTCCGCCACTGCTGGGGCCTCACCTGCAATGAACTGCTCATACTCGATGACTGGGATGTTCCTGTTGAGACTCGGAAGGTCGAAAAACTCAGACCAGGGGATCCGGACCTGGTGGATGTCGGGGCTCTGCCAGTGATAGAGGCGGCCCCAGGGGGGCAGGACGAGCACCCACTCCTCAGTCTTCAGTAGGGTCTTCAGCAGGGAGGCCACACGGATATAGACATCCCTGCGCAGGTTGAAGCCTTCTGGGGGGTTGACGTCGTACAGCAGGTACCTGCCCAGAGCAGACATGTTTCCTAAGTGCCAGGTCCTGCACAGGACCCTGGCTTCACTCAGGGTTCTGCACCTGCCACCACTGTTTCTGGTTTCTACAGTCAGACAGCTGCCTGTGTTTCTTTGTGGCAATTATTTGCAGAGTTGCCAAGTTCAACCAGCAGGCATCCAAAGGCCAACAACTGTAATGCCAATGGGAACTCAGACCCACTGTCCCTAAGGTCCTCCAAGTGCTGGTCTAAGGACTCCTCTGGACAGTCTCAGGGCCCGAAGGGCAGCGATTTCTGTGTTAAACCTACTGCGTCAGGAGTTACAACTAGAAATCCTTTTTTTAAAAATTCAGTTAAAAATAACGCATTCCATGTTAACAAAGTTAAACGTTTTTACATCAACAAAAGATGTTTCAAAATATGCAGTGAAATGCCTGATAGTAGTCCTAATTTTTGCAGCTTTCTGTGGGGTTTGGCACTAGCAGGATTTAAATCCTGCGGGCAGTCAACTGCGACATTATGGGTCAGTGTCCTGGAGACCGGGCCAGGATCCAAGAACTCGGGGTCTCTGACACCCGGAATCAGGCCGACTCCGCAGTGGTCCTCCAGGTCTTCCCTGCCGCAGCCGCCCTCGGTATCCGCGGCGGCTCGGGCAGGTCGGTCTGGTCTGCGCCAGGACTCCTAACTGCCCAGGCGGGTGGGGACTGCGGCCAGGAAGGCCAGAGTTTCATCCGTCGACCCCAGCACCTGAGACTCTACCGGCTGACCCTGGCCCCAGCGCGCGCGGACCCAGGGACGCGCTTACCGTCTGCGGGACGCTGCTCCCAACAGGATGTCAGTGGCGGACTGGCCGGGCCAGAACTCCTCGCCTGAGGCCCAGATTAGCGGCCAGGACACCGCCTGCAGCAGCAGACAGAGGACGACCAGCGCCGCCATGGCCCCGCGGCCACGCAATTCCGGCGCTCCACCCCTGTCCCGGAAGCGCGCGCTTGTGCAGCCCAGTGGAGCGCGTTGCCTGTAGCCACGGCAACGCAGGTAGGCTGCGTCCCGCGCCTGCGCTGTCCTCAGGCTTTCCGGTTCCTGCACCTCCTGGCGCCAGCTCTGGCCGCCCCCGAATTTAGGATAAAGGACGGATTAAAGGGCAGTGCGGGTAGGGGGTGCGGGCGGGGCTGCGCGGTTCTGGGTAACCCGCCAGAGAGGCGTCGCCCAGGGGTGCCTGTCACCCAGAGAGAATCTCCTCCTTCCTCCTACCTTCTTAGAGAATGGTGTCGGCGGCGTGGGGAGGGTTTTCTTGTGTGTTTGATTTGGGCTGCGGGCGCCAGCCGGCTCACTTGTCCTTAGACACGGATCCCCAGCGCAGACGTCTGACCCCCACGTGATGCCAACCTCCGCTCGACCTGTTAGGCGGGCAGGCTGCTGGGGACTGCAAAGGATGCTCCAAGGAGCTTGCTCAGGGCAGTCGCCCTCCACACCGTGAACACCTATGACGGCGTCTCACACGCCTTGTGCGGCCTAGTCCGGGTCCCCGCGCGAGGACTGCAGCTGCTGGTCCCCACTCGCGAGACACTGTGCTTCTGGTCAGGACACAGGAAGGCGGGGGTGGAACACAGTTTTTGTAAGGAGAAAAACTATGCCTGCTGCAACCCATCATCCGGTGCTCTGCATATACCTGAGACCTGGAGATCGCCCTTCCCTTCCTGGGGACAGGACTTGAGGGCCTTGCTAACTGCACCAGCCCCTCCTCCAGTCCTTAGGTGCGTAGCCCCTGTCAGGCACTTGGACTGAATGCTCACAGCTTAGGCCTTCCTGCTGCACTGAGGGGCTGGGGGCCCTCTGCATGTGGCTGGTGTACAGTTTTGGGGCTTGAGCTTGCCCAGACCCTGAGCACAGAGCACTTCCGGAGCGTCCTCCCTTCAGGGCTCTCCCTCGGGGAGCCAGGGCACATGCACGGCCAGCTGCCTGGCTTGACTGTGTTGATTGCCACCTGGCAGCAGGGGGAGGCATCAAGATTTCTGGAAATGGATTCTTGCTTCCTTTGGAGGTTGGAACCCAGAAGCTGGAGATTGAACCCAGAAGCTCTGCACTGAGCTATATCCTAGCCTTTTTAAGTTTCCTTTTTTTTTAAAGACAGGGTTTTGCTAAGTTGCTAAATTGCCCAGGTTGGGCTTGAGGCGATCCTCCTGCCTCAGTTTTCAGAGTGGTGTGATCACAAGCATGCACCAGCATGTCCAGCATGTCCACTCTTGTAAGAAGACCTGAGTGTGCTGGGCTGAGAGATGCACTATTTCTATTGCCTGGTGCTAGTGCACTGGCCTTGCCTGACAGAAGCCAGCCAAGGAGAGCCCCAAACCAGGAGTCAGCCTGACCACAGGACTGCAGCACCCAACATGGCACCAGCCTCCATCCCCACCCAGCTCTACCCAGGGTCCACCCCTCCCTTGAGCAGATGCTTGGCTTACAGCGGGGTGGCCACAGTGTTTACTCCTGATGGGTGGAGGTCAAGGGGAGTCCACTAGGGGTGGCCTGGTTTCAGGCAGACTGTGCCTCTGCCCTGGCCCTTCAGCCACTGCTTCTGGGATTCTCCATGGGGAGGTACCTCGGGTCCCTCTAGGCTTTGGGGAGTTGGCCACTGATCCCCAGGTTGTGGCCATGGCAAGACTGCCTTGAGAGGGATGTCTGAGTCACTCATCAAGAGACAGTGCCCACAGGGTACCTGTGAGCCTGCAATGCCCCAACCCCCAGCACTGGGGTGACTCTGGGAAAGGCTCCCCTGATGCCACCACAAGAGGGCAGAAGGAGGCTTTTCTCCCGCTCAGCCAAGCTGCTTTGGGCCTAGGGAGCGTGAGAGAGAACCTATGTGGACATGCGCACATGTATGCATGCCTGTGCCTAGAGCCCAGCACAGCCTTGGCCTCCATGCCACTGCGTGCCACCTGCCCCAGTCTCTGAGAACAAGAACCCCTGAGACCCAGGCAGGAGAGACCCACCCAGCCCCACTGGGCTCTAGGGTGTCATCTGTGGGAACCAAGGTCAGCACCAGGCACCTCACCCACCCTGAACAAGCAGAGCCCTGAATGTAGGGCCTTGGGTACTGGGACAGCCAGGCATGTCCTAAGAAGCAAGGATTCTGGAACCCGGCCCCAGGGCACAGGGCTACAGCATGGGGTCCTTTTCAGCAAGGAGACAGGTGGAGGGGTTCGGTGCCAGAGGACAGCTTTGCTTGTTTCCATCCCCACGTCAGAATCGGGTCCACACATACAGTTGTGGTGGCCTCAAGTGAGGGATGGGCGGGTGGGGACACATGGGCTGTCTCAGGTCAGCGCAGAAAGGTGACAGGGTTGAGAGGTAGCTTGATGCAGCAGATACCACACTAGAGTCACAAGGAGGTGGGGGCTTCACAAGCACTTGGCACAGAAAATGGTGCTGGCAGAGGTGGTGGGACAGTGGGAGCCCGGAGGGTGTGGATGGGCCGCATGCTCTGGGTCAGGGACCCTGGGGTGGTAGCCATCGGGGGCACCAGCACAGTGGACATAGCCCCTGTGACCCTGCTTCTTCATCCACTGCCTCTGAGACTAAGATCAGGCACTGGAATTCCTGAGTCTACTCTGGATGCCCTTGTGCCCCATGGCCTGTGAGCAGGAAAGCTGTGCTTTGTTTCTGAAAGTTACAGGGAGAGGATGGCTTGGGAGTCAGTGGCAGGCCAGGAGCTCCTGTCTGCAGGACTTGTGACTGGAACAGCCAGCTGCCAGGACAGCCTGGTCACTCCCCAGCTAAGAAGGTGCCACAGAGCAGACTACCTGGTGACCAAGGGACTGTCAGATGAGGGCTGGTGGGAGGCTGGGTCAGGCTGGCACCCATGCAGCTGCTCTGGATCCAGGCATCCTCAACCTGACCTCCTGGGGCCAGAAGGGGCCCTTCCACAGGTGCAGAAGGACACTATGAGGCCTGAGGTGTAGCAACCCAGCTGTTTTCTGGCTGTTTGTTCCCAGCTATGTCCTGAAGTAGAGGCCTCAGGTCAGTTAGTGAAAATGAGAACAGGTGCCCATTCCCAAAAGTGCCTGTGAGAGTATTGGGCCCCTGTCTTGGCTGTAAATGGCAGGACAGCTTGAGGCTGTCCTGGCCCCTGCAGTAGGTAGGTCCTCCTCCAGGAGGGCACTCTCCACAGCTGCAGCTTGGGATCCTGTTTCCTGGGGTGAGCAGGCCTCAGAAGGTGGGAGTCTTGCAGGGCTTTCTGGGAGCAAAACAATGGTAAATGTCAGAAAGTGCGCAATGTGCTTTCCTAAACAGTGTGTGTTTATGTGGGGAGGGCCGGTTCCAAGGACTGGGCTCCTCTAGAGGTCAGCCTCATGGAAATGCGGCCAGGCTGTGTGGCCCAGCCTCCTCTGCAGCCGCACAGCTCAGGGAAATTTGCTGACTCATGAGGAGCCTGGCTGCCAAGTGCAGGGACCAGGTACACATGCTAACTGCATAATCTGCACTCCTCAGTCCAGTTGAGCTCCCAGGGTCCAGAAGATTCAGCGTAGGCCCCTGAGGACACAGACTAGGGAAAGTGTGATGTGTCCTGCAATTTCCAGAGTCCCTGAGCTGACACTGGGTGCTTGGGGGAAGCTGGTGCTTCTGTTTAAGGCAGCAGTGACCCTGATATAAGCAATGTGGTGCGTGTACCCATGCGTGCATGTGTGTGTGTGTGGAGGTGCACGCACCAACGCATGTGTGTATTGGTTTGATACCTGTCTCCAGCTCTTGGTAAGCTCTGAGGAAGGAATCTCGGTGCCTCTAGAGTCCAGTCCACCCCATGCACTGATGCGATTCTTTGAATTTGCTTCTCATGAGTTACATCTTCACTCAGTCTACCCTGTGCATCAGCTGCTATTTTTGTGACTGAGGAACTTAAATGAGGAAACTGAGGCACAGTGCCATGGTCAGCCCAGAAGGAGCACTATCCTTCTCTGCCCATTATTCCTAAGGGCTGGGCCTGTCACATGCCAGCCTGAGCTTGGTCCCCTTCTAAGAGTTAACCTGCCTGATATTTTAGTCCCTCCTCATGGGACCAGTTAAGTTTCCTATTTCTGCTAAGTCTATTGGTACTTTTCATTTTCTCAGAAAATGGCCCATTTGGTCTAGTTTTTAAGTACTTGGTAATTTTACTAATCTGTACCCTATTGTTTCTGACCCCCCAGACGTGTGGTCAGTGTCTTCTGACCACAGAGGACAATCAGCCACCTCTCCCTGTTGCTAGGGCCCTGGGGGTCTGCAGGGAACCATGGGGATCACAGCAGACACCATCATCTGTGATGCTGGCCACGGGTCCTGGGGTGGCGGTGCTGTGGTAGCCAAGTCCCTTCCCTCCGTGGTGTTCACTTTGTTTCCTTCCTTGCTCAAGGCATACAGCCGGGCTCTCCACACATGAGGCAGGCGGAGTCTGATGGCATAGAGAAGGACACGGTTCTCAAGGCTGCAGGACAGTTGCGAGACTGCGGGTGCATTGCCTTATATGCCCGTCTAAAGTTACGGGACGGGTCTCTTGCGCCCATGCCAATGTGCCTAGAGCAGGCTTGTCCTCCAAAAAAGGAAGCAGAGGTTAGGCTGCTGTACCAGTCAGGGCTTACAAGAGAAACAGATACAACACAAGACATACAAACGTGTAAGAAATGACAAGATCAGCTCACGATGGTCACCAGAGTTGGATGAGGGAGTGTGCAGAGGGCGCCTGCACGCTGGAGACTGAAGGGTCCAGCCCAAGGGCTGGAGCTCATTGCTGTGTCTGTGCAAGTTCATATCAGGAGGCTGATGGATCTTTGATAGAACGCTGAAGATGAAATGCAGAAAAATCTACACCAGAAGGCTGAGGAGTCTGAGGCAGAGGCCAGTCTATGCCAGAAGCCAGGAATGATGGCCAAACTGAAGATGAAGACTGGAGCTCTTCGGAAGAACCAGCAATGGGTCCCTCCTCATTTTCGTTTACTGTATGCAGGCTACTACCCTGGC